AGATCTGAAAGAGATTAGGAGTCAAGGAAGGGCCTTCAAGAGAGGAAATGTCCTTTGCAAAAGTCTAGAGGCCTGCCCTAGCCGGTTTGGCTCCGTGGATAGAGCGTCGGCCTGTGGACTGAAGGGTCCCGGGTTCGATTCCATCAAGGGCACATGCCCAGGTTGCGGGCTTGTTCCCCAGTAGGGGGTGTGCAGGAGGCAGCCCATCAATGATTCTCTCTCATCATTGATGTTTCTGTCCCTCTCTCCCTCTCCCTTCCTCTTTGAAATCAATAAATATATATATTTTAAAAAGTCTAGAGGCCTGAGGGATATGGCTCTTTCAAAGAACTGAGAGAAAAGAGCATGGAGAGTGGTGTAAAGCTGGAGAAGTAGGAGGGTGCCAAACCGTGCCGAGCCTGAGTTTTATCATTATCCTAAGAACAGAAGGAAGCCATTGAAATATTTAAGCCACGTGGTAAAGCGATCAGCTTTATATTTCCATAGGTTAAACTTAGCTGTAATATGGAGAATGGATTGGAAAAGTCAAAAATTGGATAGGAGGAATGCAGTAATCCAAGTAGAAATGTTATGATGTGATTGTGGAGATAGGGAGAAATGGACAGATTCGAGGGATATTTAGGAGGTAAAATGGATAGGATATGTAGGTAGACGGAAGGAAGTGTCAAGGATGACTTGTAGGTTTCTGACTTGCCTAGCTGGATAGATGTTATGCAGTGAACTGGGAAAATTAGAAATTCAGTTTTGTACATGATGAGTTATAGGTACCATTGAAAATTTAAGAGCTGTAAAATGAAAAGTAGGGATCTGGAGCTCAGATTTTTTTTTTCAGTTTATTTTATTTTATTTACATGTATTTTTATTGATTTCAGAGAGGAAGGGAGAGGGAGGGAGAGATAGGAACATCAATGATGAGAGAAAATAATTGATTGGTGGCCTCCTGCATGCCCCCTACTCAGAATTGAGCCTGCAACCTGGGCATGTGCCCTGACCGGGAATCCAATGGAGACCCTGGAGCTCAGATTTGATGCCTGGGATGGAGATAAAGAATTAGTGAGTTATCTGTAATGCCATGTGTATAAATGAGTGAAGAGGGCCTAGGATGGAGTCTTGGATACTTACTGAGCAGGTTAGAGGAAGATGCATATTCAAAGAAGATTCAGGAGGAGTGTCCAGAAAGGGAGAAAAGTCAGGTGAGTACTATGTTTCAGAAGTCCTCAGAAACACCTGTCCAGAAAAAGGAACTGATCAAAAGTTTCAGATGTTGCTGAGAGGTCAAGTAAGATAGTACTGAAAAGCATTCTTCTTTTTTTTTTTTTTTTAAATATATTTTATTGTTTTTCCACAGAGAGGAAGGGAGAGAGACAGAGAGTCAGAAACATCGATGGGAGAGAAACATCGATCAGCCGCCTCCTGCACATCTCCCACTGGGGATGTGCCCGCAACCTAGGCACATGCCCTTGACCGGAATCGAACCCGGGACCCTCCAGTCCGCAGGCCGACGCCCCATCCACTGAGCCAAACCGGTTTCGGCGAAAAGCATTCTTTCAGGTTATCAACCTGAGGATTATTTCCCTTCAATGGAACCTTACCTAGAAGATTAATATGTAAACAGATTTTTGTTATAAGCTTCTCTTTTTTGAAATGGCAGGTGAGGTTCCTGTCCTCTGCA